AGAACTTGTTAGCCAACAACTTGTTTAGATATTAGGTTTATTAAACAAACCAAGCTAATTCAAACCAAGCTTTCACGAATATAAAACGAGTCGAGCCAGTTCGTTTGTTAGAACTACTCATTTTTCTTTTAAATGAAATAGACAAACATAACTTGTTCGCCAACAACTTGTTTAGATATTAAGTTTATTAAACAAATCAAGCTAAATCAAACCAAACCTTCACAAATTTAAAACGAGTAGAGTCGGTTCGTTTGTTAGAACAACTCGTTTTTCTTTTAAATGAAACAAATAAACAGAATTTGTTCGCCAACAACTCGCTTAGATATTAAGTCTATTAAACAAATCAAGTTAAGTCAAACCAAACTTTCACGAATTTAAAACGAGTCGAGCCGGTTTGTTTCTTAGAACAATTCGTTTTTCTTTTAAATGAAACAGAAGATAAACAAAACTTGTTCGCTAACAACTCGTTTAGATATTAAGTTTATTACACGAATCAAGTTAAGTCAAATCAAGCATTTCAAGAATTTAAAACGAGACGAGTCGAGTCGGTTCATTTGTTAACAGGAATCCAGATTATATATTATTACCTATCAACCCATCTTTCTTCCCAAAAAATTGCAGATCAATATATAAATATAATCAGGGCTATTCATCTGCAGCTCGATCTCTGTAAGTCCACTTTCTCGGAAATTCCAATTCTGCTTGTATTTACAGATACACGATCTCTATTTTCATGAGGAGCTAGGGGTTTTCAAGCTCCGGAAATTTATTTATTAATTTATTCTGTGAATTTGAGCCACAGATTGGAATGGCGACTGAACAGGCAAAGCCCGCTACTGAGGAAGCGAAGGTCGATCTGTTTGAAGACGATGATGAGTTCGAGGAGTTCGAGATTGGCCAAGGTTTGATAATCCTTTCTTCTATTTTTATATACCTCCTGTTTTGGATTTTCCTTTGAGCTGCTTGTCTAATGGTTAGCTTTAGGGTTTATTAGTTTAGCTTCACAAACACGGTCCTTGTTCACTTCAAGTACGAATTTGGAGTTCGTATTCATTACTTTGCCATGGCAGTTCGTATCAGTTATAATCTTTTGTTACATTTCCTCATGGAATTGTTTGTTGGTGGTTATGTGTTATTTTCTTTTGCTCCATTAAAATGTGACCTTGAGATTGAAAAAAAAAAAAAATAATGGCTGAAATGCATACCTTGATGGCTCGACTCATGTGCGTGTTTGGCTGAAAAGTATTTGTTAGGTTTTAGTGGCAAGAGTTTGGCATTGTCTTTGGAATTCATTGGATATCTGTAACCTAGTCGAGTTGGAATGGATATGGAATCTCGGTTGGAAAATATATTGTTCAGGCCTTTAGAACCTACTTGAAGGTCGATCCTGTTTAGCTTGTTGGAAAATTAATACTCACAGCACAAGTTACGTGTTAGCTTCACAACACATGCAAAGGCTCGATGATTCTCCATAGTCATATCCGTAATCGCGCATGATCAAGCAACCACATACTTTATCAAGTCCAGCAGTTCTTGTTTTTTTTTTTTTTTTT